AGCTGCTGGGGCGAAAGAGGACACGGCAGCTGCACCTGTCCACTACCAGAAGCTCCCGACCGACCCACTCCAGAGCGACTACCACTACGGCCACCCCGACAGCCCCAACTAGCGTACCACTCACGCAGCTGCTGGGGCGTGAGGGACTCACGCGCACGGCCCTGGAGCTGCATCTGGCCACGCTAGAAGCAGCAGTAGTAGCAGTAGCGGCAGTAACAGCAGTAACAGCAGGAGCAGTAGCAGTGGGAGTAGAAAAGGCAGTAGCAGCAGTAGCAGCGGTAGCAGTGCTGGCAGGGCAATGCTCACCAGTGGTCGGCGCGGCAGGCGCAAGACGGTGGCGACAGCGGGGCCGCTACAACTGCAGGGCGGGGCCGGGCCGCAGCAGGGAGCTCCGCGGCAGCTGCTGCACGGCGAGGCCGGGCCGCGACGGCAGCTGCTCCAGGTGCCAGGGGCGGCTGCTGCAGTGGCGGCTGCTCCAGGGGCCAGGGGCGGCTGCTGCAGCGGTGGTTGCTCCAGGGGCCAGGGGCGGCTGCTGCAGGGGCGGCTGCTCCAGGGGCGAGGGGCGGCTCCTGCAGTGGCGGCTGCTCCAGTGGCCAGGGGCGGCTGCTCCAGAGGCCAGGCGCGGATTAGGTCAGGGCGACGCGGCGAGCAGGGCGACGCGGCGGGCAGGTGGCGACGCCGCGGGCAGGGCGACGTGGCGGGAAGGTGACGACGCCGCGGGCAGGGCGACGCGGCGAGCAGGTGACGACGCCGCGAGCAGGGCGACGCGGCGGGCAGGGCGACGCGGCGAGCAGGTGACGACGCCGCGAGCAGGGCGACGCCGCGAGCAGGTGGCGACGCCGCGGGCAGGGCGACGCGGCGAGCAGGTGACGACGCCGCGGGCAGGCGACGACGCCGCGGGCAGGCGACGACGCCGCGGGCAGGCGACGACGTCGCGGGCAGGGGCTACGTCGCGGGCAGGCGACGACGCCGCAGGCAGGCGACGACGCCGCGGGCAGGCGACGACGCCGCGGGCAGGCGACGACGCCGCGGGCAGGGGCTACGTCGCGGGCAGGTGACGACGCCGCGGGCAGGCGGCGACGCCGCGGGCAGGGCGATGCGGCGGGCGGCGAGAGCCTGCAGGGGCGGCGCGCGGTCGGGCAGAGGTTGCGCGCGGGCCTGACGAGCCTGCAGGGGCGGCTCTCGGGCCTGACGGGCCTGCAGAGGCGGCTCGGGGGGGGCCTGACGGGTCTGCAGAGGCGGCTCGGGGGCCTGACGGACCTGCAGGGGCGGCTCGAGGGCGCACGAGAGCGCTCGAGGGCGCACGAGGGCGCACGAGGGCGCACGAGGGCGCACGAGGGCGCACGAGGGCGCACGAGGGTGCATGAGGGCGCACGAGGGCGCACGAAGGCGCACGAAGGCGCACTAGCAGAGAAAGGCGCACGAGGGCGCACGAGGGCGCACGAGGGCGCACGAGGGCGCACGAAGGCGCACTAGCAGAGAAAGGCGCACGAGGGCGCACGTAAGGTAGGGCGCACGAGGGTGCTTCTAGCGGAATAGTGGGCCCATAGTAGAAAGCGGTCCTAGGTAGCAACCTAGGCTCGTGATACCATGTTAGAATCTAGAATAGAACGAGAATGAATGAAACTAGGTAGGAGGGGGATACAAGTAGGAAACCCTAACAAAGCTGTACCCCCTAAGGCTAAACCCACTATAGCCTACACAATATGAACATATAATGTTTGACAGAGTGTGCTCTTGGCACGGACGTCCTTGAGGATAGGCAGGAGGACCTTGAGTGTCTTGCCGCCGCTGCGCCTCATCTCGTGGCCATGCTGCTTGCCCCTGAGGGAGACCCGGATGCACTAGACATCCCGACCCCGCGCTCTTACGCTGAGGCGATCGCGGGTGAGTACTCCTCTCAGTGGCAGACAGCCATGGACGCAGAGATGGCATCCAGGAAGTCCACAGGCACGTACGTCGACGAGGTTCCCCCTCCTAGGGCGAACATCGTCAGTGGCATGTGGATTTTCAGGGTGAAGCGGCCGCCGGGTTCTCCGCCTGTCTTCAAGGCTCGTTATGTTGCTCGAGGTTTCAGTCAGCGAGAGGGAGTTGACTTCTTCCAGACTTTCTCCCCCACCCCGAAGATGACCACTCTTCGGGTTCTGCTGCACGTCGCCGCTCAGCGTGACTACGAGCTCCACTGTCTTGACTTCAGCACTGCTTTCCTACAGGGCAGCCTGCACGAGGAGATCTGGCTGCGCCGCCCACCTGGCTTCACTGGGTCGTTCCCTCCTGGTACCCAGTGGAGCCTCCGGCGGCCGGTCTACGGTCTCCGCCAGGCGCCACGTGAGTGGCACGACACACTGAGGACGACACTTGCGGCTCTTGGGTTTGCTCCTTCGACTGCTGACCCGTCGCTGTTTCTGCGCACCGACACTTCGCTGCCGCCGTTCTACGTTCTCGTGTACGTCGACGACTTGGTCTTTGCCACTGCTGACACTGAGGCTCTCGCCTTGGTGAAGTCGGAGTTGCAGAAGAGACACACGTGCACAGACCTGGGTGAGCTGACAAGCTATCTTGGCTTGCGGATCACCCGGGACAGAGCACGCCGCACCATCACACTGACTCAGTCACACATGGTGCAGCAGGTCCTTCAGTGCTTCGGCTTCACCTGGTCCTCGGCACAGGCCACTCCTCTGGCTACAGGTCACTCGCTCTTAGCTCCACCTTCGGATGAGTCCGTAGAGCCGAGTGGTCCTTACCCAGAGCTAGTGGGCTGCCTCATGTACCTGATGACCTGCACTCGTCCTGACCTTGCGTACCCTCTTGGCCTTCTGGCTCGCTACGTGGCTCCTGGTCGGCACCGAAAGGTGCACATGGATGCTGCTAAGAGGGTACTACGCTACTTGTGCAGTACATCGGGCATGGGGCTCGTGCTTGGAGGACGGAGCAACGTAGTCCTCACTGGCCACTCAGACGCTTCTTGGGTTGACGACCAGGCTACGCAGCGGTCGTCACAGGGTTACACCTTCAGTCTTGGCTCTGGCTCTGTTTCTTGGCGGTCTACACGCTCGTCTTCTGTTCTCAACTCTAGTTGTGAGGCTGAGATCTACGCCACAGCCATGGCTGCACAGGAATAACGCTGGCTCACCTACCTGCTGACCGACCTGGGATAGCGGCCTCGTTCTCCTCCAATTCTGTACGTAGACAACAAGGCCGCCATTGCCTTGTGTCAGGAGCACAGACTGGAGCACAGAACGAAGCACATCGCTCTGCGTTACTTCCTGGCTCGAGAGTTGCAGCAGCGGGGTCAGCTTCGCCTTGCTCACATGGCCACTCGGGCCAACACTGCTAATATATTCACCAAGGCACTTCCGTCTGGTGACCATCAGCGCTTTTGTACTTTGTTGGGCCTTGTGCCTACGTTTCCACACTTGCTGTAGTCTCTGCTTGTACTGTGATTTATATATATATACCTGCATGCTTGCTCTTGCTAGATAGAGATCACTGTGCTGTTCTTGTTGTTTATATACCTCTGTATGTGGACTGGCCTTGTGGCCGTTTGCTTGTGCTCAGTGTGTGTGGTGACATTGTGATCCACCCTGAGCTGTGTTTTGTTTCTTCTCTTGACTGGTCTTTTGACCATTGCTTGCTCTGGCTATCCCCCATTTCGCCTATGGGGGTGTGTCAAAACATATGCATATTCTTATCTAGGCTATATTGGGGCTAGCCTTAGGGGGTACAGAAACATTCTCGACACTCTAGTCTTGTACCCCAACCTTGACCTAATCCATACATTCTTGTCTTAAGTCTTGACATGGAGGTCCACTTGTACCATGATAAGGCTTTACCGAAACCATAAGATGTAATCTGAAAAAAAAAAAAAATGGAACTATAGTTTTGGCTCGGTGCAGTTTTTGTTAGAATAATAATAATAATAAATAAATAAATAACTGGATTCATGCAAAATTCATAGATGGCAGGGAAGAAAGCCACTTTGTAAGCAAAGGTTGATTCGAGGTAGGTCTACCTACATAGGTGAAGTTAGGTTCTCTACTGCAGTGTCGTTGTACGTAAGTCATTAAAGTTATTCCATTTGGTAATTATGCTCATAATTCTGCAAGGGAAAAGAACAGGAAAAACTACCAAAACCGAGTCAGTCTATGCGGAAACAGCGTTACCAGGGAAGCTGTCCAGCAAGGGCGTGCCAAACCTTGTCACACACAGACGCTGAACCGCGCCGCCTTTAATTGCAGCTGTCACTGTACAACAGCGAGCTCTTCTCGTTATGGCGAGGTTTCCGCCACAAGCACATTCTCCTTCATTTCAAGGGTATCCAACTGAAGCATCGTGACAAGGCTTGACGAAGTTGGCCAAAGCGTGTGCTCGTGTGGGTTTTGCCCAGGGCAGACGAAGCGAGAGATTTAGACGAAACGGGTTACTGCATTTCCGCAGTGTGGTTTGCGAGACGGACATGCTGGTCTCCTCCGCACCGTGGCCCGCGGGGTAACTCGCCGAGGCGCTACTTCACAATACGCACACGGCGGCTCGAGATGTCCAGCTCTTCAGCACTCATTCTTGTTCTTGCCAGCGGAAGGGCGAATGCAAGCAAGGACAGAGGTGCAATCTATCGTCTTTGTCCACCATCCTATGAGGCTCGCTTTGCCAGGGTTTGGTCAAGACTAGTGAGCGACACTTGGCAAAAGCACGAGGGAAGAGTGGCAGGCAAAATTTGTGATTTGCCGTCATGTGCACCCCCTCCCACTTTGTCGTAAGAAAGGATGGCGTAGACGTCATCAGTGTAGATCCAGCAACGCCGGGGTGTCCAGCTCCATGCATTCTGTGAACAGCACATGTTGAAGAGTCAAGTTCATCCGCGCTCGTGTCACCTTCAATCACGCAGCGCACTAAAAATTCGTTCAGATTACTTCAATCCAGCCCTGGATTCGCTTATCTCTGTCGAGAAAATACCGTCGCTACAGATTCCCGCGTGAGAGGCGTCGCTCGAGCGCGTGTGAATGGACTGTCCGCCAACTCGCCTGGTGCTCCCTGACGGTCGCCCGCTCGACCTGCACCTCACGTATGCCATCACGGTCGACGAGGCCCTTCGCCGCGCTCTGCCCTTTGCCATCTCTTCCTCGCTCGCTTGCTCCGCTCTGCACCCCTCCTGCCACATCTCCTTGCGCTCCGCCGACCGCGGCCTGCTGCGCGGCAGATGGCGCGACCTTCCGCTCTCGCGGCACCTGCAGCTGGGGCGCACGTACCTGGTGGTGGTGGAGCGCGGGCCGCGCGGGGGGAGGCACAGCTTGCGGTACGACGGGCGCAACATGGCGGAGCTGGTGGCGGCTGCGACGGCCGTGGAGCATGCTGCAGGGGTCGACTTGGAGGCGCCGCACGAGGTTAGCATGTCGCACCGCGACATCCGGTTACCCGCGTCGTTTTTCTGAACAAAAGAGTGTTTTCTTTATGCTTCTGCTATCGTCTATCGCCCGCTTCTCTCCCCATGTTCATTTCGTCTGTCTATCAACTACAGTTACTAACACACCCTACACCGCCTCGGTTACCCTCTGACCATGTTCGCCCATCGCACCCCATCTGCCTCTGCCCTATTGTTCCTCGCAGGGCGGCTCGCCGCCCTTCTCGGACCCGCTGCATGCAGCACTGCTAGCCGCCGCGCGTGACGCGGTCATGTCAGGAAGCTCTGACGGCCGCCACCAGCCTCCACATCCGCTATGTCACCCACCATCCGCGCATCACCTCTCCCCTCGCTGCCATCTTCCCCCGTACCTCTCTCCCGGCGCGCCCCTGGATGTCGAGGGGCTTCTCGACTCCGGACAGCCTTCCCCGCCCGACGGACGTGCTCGGCGCGCAGCGGAGCTGACCAATGAGATGGCCGCACGCCTTGTAACTGCGGCGCGGAGAATGTTGGAAGCGGGACAATGGGACGCACCCCGCGGCGGCTGTGGCGCTAAAGACGCGGACGCGCGAGGGTATGGCGCAGTGCTTGGCGGGGAAGGAGCAGGGAATGAACAGGACGACGGCAGGGGTGAAAGAGAGGGTCCAACGGTGGACGACTTGATGATGTGGATGGCGCACGGGGAGTCGCAAGCAATAGGGCTAGGCGACGGCGAGAGCGACGAGGAGCAAGGCAACAAGGAGCGAGGCGATGAGGAGGTGGATGGTGAGGGGGAAGCGAAGGCTGCATGGCGGAGGAACATTGCGGATTCGCGCACTCGCTGTGGTGTGCACGCGGACATTGCGGCAGCACGTGCGGCATACGTCAAGCGAGGAGGCCTGCTGGGAGCGTCAGCGATGGACGGCAGCGCGGCAGAGGAGGGAGCATCGTCCGGTGAGGCGCCAGGAGGGTTGGTTGACGAGCGCGACGGCGCGCGTGTGCAGCACGGCGAGGCCGCCAAAGGGATGGTTTGGGGGGAAGTGCGCGCACTGGCCGGGGGAGGAGTCAATGGGGAAGGGGCGGGCGTCAAGAGGAGCTGCGGTGATGAGGGGGGGAAGGTGATCGTAGCAGAGGATGCACGCGATGCGGCGGGCGGCATGGCGGAGGATACGCGGGACGGTGCGGAGGAGTGGGACAGCGACGCGGATGCTTTCTCGCTCAGCCTGGGCCCCGACGGAGACGTACAGGCGGCGCCGCTCCGTACGGCGCGCGAAAATGCGGAAGCGAGCGGGGAAGAGATGATGGCGCGCGGGCAGGTCCCGATGAGTGCTAACCCGAGACGGCAGGACGGTGGGAAGGAAGGGGATGAGGGGAGTGGGTTGGAGGAAATGGTGAAGGGCGGGGAAGAGGTTGGTGGTGCCTTGGGGAGTGGGACAGCGGACGACGGGACACGGGAGGATGGGGAGGTGAGAGGTGACGGAAAGAATGCTCCTGTGGTGGAGGGCGCGGAGATCTCGAATGGAGGAGATGATGCGGATGGCGCGAACGGTGCAGACAGTGCAGATTGGAATGACCCGGAGACGGACTCACGCAGTGTGCTTGTAGCGGTGGAGGAGGGCAGTGGTGACGTGGAGGGCAGTGGTGACGTGGAGGGCAGTGGTGACGTGGAGGGCAGTGGTGACGTGGAGGGCAGTGGTGACGTGGAGGGCAGTGGTGACGTGGAGGGCAGTGGTGACGTGGAGGGAAGTGATGACGTGGAGGGAACCGATGACGTGGAGGGAACCGATGACGTGGAGGGAAGTGATGACGTGGAGGGAAGTGGTGACGTGGAGAGCAGTGGTGACGTGGAGGGCAGTGGTGACGTGGAGGGCAGTGGTGACGTGGAGGGCAGTGGTGACGTGGAGGGCAGTGGTGACGTGGTGGGCAGTGGAGACGTGGAGGGCAGTGATGACGTGGAGGGGAGTGATGACGTGGAGGGAAGTGATGACGTGGAGGACAGTGACGTGGAGGGCTGTGGTGACGTGGAGGGAAGTGGTGACGTGGAGGGAAGTGATGACGTGGAGGCATATGGTGATGTGGAGGGGACTAGACACGCGGAGGAAGGTGGTGGCGTGGGGTGGAGTGGGGTTGAAGAGAGTGGTGTCGTGGAGAACGGTGGTGAAGGTGGTGACGTGAAGGGGAGTGGTCACGTGGAGGAGAGTGACGATGTGGAGGGGAGTGACGAGGGGAGTGACGATGTGGAGGGGAGTGGTGCCGTGGAAGAGACTGGTGGCGTGGAGGAAGGAGGCGACGTGGAGAAGAGTGATGACGTGGAGGGGAGTGGTGACGTGGAGGGTGGCGAAGTGGAGAAGCGTGGTGACGTGGAGGGGAGTGGTGGCATGGAAGAGAATGGTTGCGACGTGGAGGAGAGTAGTGACGTGGAGGAGAGTGGTGACGTGGAGGAGAGTGGTGACGTGGAGGAGAGTGGTGACGTGGAGGAGAGCGGTGACGTGGAGGAGAGCGGTGACGTGGAGGAGAGCGGTGACGTGGAGGAGAGCGGTGACGTGGAGGAGAGCGGTGACGTGGAGGAGAGCGGTGACGTGGAGGAGAGCGGTGACGTGGAGGAGAGTGGCGACGTGGAGGAGAGTGGCGACGTGGAGGAGAGTGGCGACGTGGAGGAGAGTGATGACGTGGAGGAGAGTGATGACGTGGAGGAGAGTGATGACGTGGAGGAGAGTGATGACGTGGAGGAGAGTGATGACGTGGAGGAGAGTGATGACGTGGAGGAGAGTGGCGACGTGGAGGAGATTGGTGACGTGGATGGGAGTGGTGACGTGGATGGGAGTGGTGACGTGGATGGGAGTGGTGACGTGGAAGGGGGTGGTGACGTGGAGGAGAGTGATGACGTGGAGGAGAGTGATGACGTGGAGGAGAGTGATGACGTGGAGGAGAGTGGCGACGTGGAGGAGATTGGTGACGTGGATGTGAGTGGTGACGTGGATGGGAGTGGTGACGTGGATGGGGGTGGTGACGTGGAAGGGGGTGGTGACGTGGAAGGGAGTGGTGACGTGAATGGGAGTGGTGACGTGGAAGAAGATGGTGATGTGGAGGAGAATGATGACGTGGAGGAGGGTGGTGACGAGGGGGGGAGTGGTGATATGGAGGAAGGTGGTGATGTGGAGGGGAGTGATGACGCGGAGGTAGAGTATTGCGGCATCCAGGGTGCGCACACTGGGGGAGTGGAGGCAATGGGAGCGGAGGGTGATGCCGTGGCGGGGGACGTATGCGCGGAGGGTGAAACGGAGCAAATGCGGGAAGAGGAGAGCGAGGGGGGGAAGAAGAGGGATGAACACACGGCGGCGCTTGGTGAGGGAGAGGGCTGGCAATGCGGCGCGAGGAAGCCCGAGGGTAGCCCAGGCGGTGGTGGCAGCATTGCACCAGCACGTGCCTCGTCGTGCCCTCCATGCGGCCTTGGACTGGCATCGCCTGCGGAGAGGCGTCAGATTGCTGGCAAGGGGAGCGATGAGCAGGCAGGTGAGTTGCAACAGGCAGGCGATGAGGTGGAGGCACGGACACGTGACAACACACACGATGTGGCGGCTGACACTGTGGCGGAGGACGTGGCGGACGGTGCGGAGGAGAGCGAGGAGGGAGTGCGGTGCCATGCACCCACGGCACCGCCCACGCATCACGGCCTTGCTCTACCTGGGGCCTGCCCCTCCCACTCCCACCCTCCGGTGTCTGCCGCTCTCTGCACAACTCAAGGAAAACTTCCCGCTCCTCCTGTGGCCACCGGCAGCAGCGGCGGCAACGGCAGGCGCGTGGGGGCAGCTGCGGCGAGTGCAGCGGCGGCAGCAATGAAGGCGGCGGCGGTGGCTGCTGCTGCCGCTGCTGCTGCCAAGTGCGCTGCCGCCCGCCTGTCGCGCGTGTCTGATGCTCTGGCATGGGACAGCCGGGGGGGGCAGGGCGGCGTGGTGAAGGCAAGGACGAGGGCGAAGGGGGAAAGCGAGGAGAGCGGAAGGGGTGAAGGGGGTGAGTGTAGCCATGGCAGCAAGGAGCGCACGAGGCTGGTCAGCAATGCTGGTGAGCAGGAGCGTGGGCGGAAAGAGAAGGAAGGCACGGGAGATTGGGGAGGGGTAGGTAAGCGCAGTGGGACAGCGAATGAAGGGTGCGGGGCAGCAGGCAGTAGTGAGGGCGTGGGGATGCAAGGTGAGCATGGAGGCACAGCGGGCAGTGGTGGATATGTGCAGGTGGGTGGCAGGCGCATGGATGCCGGGGAGTGGCTGATGAGGGAGGCGGCCAAACATGGCACAGAGATGCTCGTGACCGTGGCCGCTGCTGCTGCCTCCGCCGAGTGCCGCATGCATGCTGCCACACGTGGGCAGACGCGACTCATGCTGCACTCAGGGCCGCGTGGGAACGAGCAGCATGGCCCCTCTACTCAGCAGCAGCAGCAGCGGCAACGGCCACTGCAATGTATGCAGCCGCAGGAGACAGAAGCTGAGGGGGAGCAGCAGGGCCAGAAGCACATCCCCCAGAACCAGCACCACTCGCCACAGCAGCAGCAGCTGCAGCAGCAGGAGGAGGTGGGGAGCAGAGGCTATAGCAGCAGTGGCGGGCGGAGCAGCAGCAGCAGCAGCAGCAGCGAGGAGGTGTGGCGGCCGGAGGATGGGCTGGGGTGTCTGGGGGCAGAGTCGTTCCAAGCGCTGCTGCCTGACTTTGGCTGGCAGCCGCTCTCATGGGCCAGTGCGGGTGAGGAGCAGGGGCGAGGCGCATGCGCAGTGGGGGGCGAGGATGTGGAGGAGGCAAAGCTTTGGGCGGCGTATGAGGCGCAGTACAGGCAGCGGCGCAAGGGGCAGGAGGAGGCGCCAATGGGCAAGGTGAGTAAGGTGGAGAAGGGACGGTCAGGTGGGGCTGAGGGTAGTGGGGACAGCGAGGCAGGGGATGAGGGTGAGGGAGAGGGAGAGGGTGAGGAGGAGGACATGGAGATGGCGTTTCTCTTCCGCCAGCTGCGCTTCTACCACCAGGGCTCCTCCCAGCCCGCCTGCACTGCCCCAGTGCCAGCAGCTGTGAACCCGTCCATGCCAGAGGATGCTGGTTCTGGAGGCAAGGCAGAGGAGCAGAGCAGCAGCAGCAGCAGCAGTGTGGGTAGCGAGGGAGTGTGGCGGCCTGAGCTGCCTCTGATTCTGGAGGTGCCAGAGTTAGAGGCGCTGTGCACGTCGCACGACACATCGGAGAACGAGGCAGGGTGGAGCGAGCACGGCACTTGCTCCTCATCATCCGGTGACTCGTCGCCCCTTTGCCATGGGTATGCCTCCGGGCAGGGAGTGGCAGTCGAGGAGGGGCCGGCAGCAGGGAAGGTGGGGCGGGGCTTGGTGCTGCCTAGCATTAACCGCATGGCATCCACCCTTGTGTGGCGCCCATGGACCAGGCACAGTGGGTGAAGGCCACTGCTCATTCATGCTGTGCTGATTAGTTGATCTTAATTCGCTAGTACCGCAAGTACCTTAGGTGTTGCACTACAATAACCTTGCAGAAGCTCAGGATATGCAGGTATTACGGTATGTAGTATTATGTAGACTTTTCCTACCACACTATATCGGCTAGAAAGTAACTCTTAATACGGTACATTGGTTTAGAAAGCTGCCACTGCTGTTATCAATCATGTCTGAAGCCAAAAAATGTGGAGCTCCACTGGTGCGGTGCGGTACATCAACTTAAAAAATGTGTGTCAAGCAAACCCTAACGCTACCATACACATATAGCTAGCAGATACGGTACCAATCTCACGCAGACAAACCTGCACATGGGCACAGACAGAGACGCAGCAGGCTTGAAAAAGTTTCACCAACACATGAACTTCAAAGCTTGGCTGTACATGAAGTTTCAGAAGCGGAGCAATGGGGAGCATGGTGGAGTGGCAGTGAGGCACTGACCGTGCTGCTTCTTGCAGTCGTTGAGCATGTCAATGTAGAACTGGCACTTGGCAATGTCCGTGCCGTTCGCCTGCACACACTGCACTCGTGGGTGGGAGCAGCGGGCAACGCAGGATGAGTTAGGGGAGAACAACATGCTGATTGAATCATGCAGCACCAACAGCTGCGAGTATTCTGTGCATGCATCAACAAGAGCACGAGCCCGGCAGAGGGTAGCGAGTGGTGGATAAGTTGGTGCCATGGGTCCATGCTCTGCGTGCTAATCCCGTTTGACTCACGTCAGCGAAAGCCTTAGAGTGGTACGTGCACGAGTCGGCGGATGCAGATGTGACGGCAGGGGCGGCGGCGGCAGCGGGGGCGGGGGCAGCGTCAGCAGCGCCGACGTGCTCGTGGGTGACGGTGCGCGGGCCCACCACGGCGTCCACCGCGCGGTGCGCTATGGCGCTGCCCGTGCCGAACGCCAGCCCTGTGCAGCGCCACGCGTGTAGGGCGGCGTAAGGGAGCATGACAAGCGGGGGAGAGGGGAAGGGGGGGTGTGGAGTGGAGGAGGGAAGGGGGCGAGGGAAGTTGACACAAGTTGTGGGAAGGACCAGCAGGAGATTGCACTGATGCTGGTGGTGATAGCGGTGGTGGGCGCGAGGACAGACGTCACGGCGGTGGGACCTCGAGATAGAGCAGACCGGAAGAACGAAGGCAGATAGCAGCACCGCTACTCGTGCGCATACCGTGCGCAGTTGGTTAGAACGGGCAAGTTCGCGCACGCGTGGAACGCGGGTGGTCTAAGACGCCGTACCTTGTCCGACCATCCCCATCATGCCGCTCAGCATGCCACCTCCGCCGCCGCTCTGCTGCATGGGCGCTGGAGCGGGCGCCGCTGGAGAAACAGAGAAAGAGAAAAAACGGACAGAGAGCGAGAGAGAGGGCATAAGGTGCGCGTACAAGATGGAAGGCACAAAAGCGGACAAGCGTGGAGAGCGATAGATGCGGCGTAAGGGCAGAAAGGCTGCACGCAGCTTGTTGCTCATGTCGCAATTGCGCGGCTCATGCAGATGGCGCAGAGCGGAGCATCGCAACGCACAGACTTACCGACAGGGGCGGGGGGAGGAGCGCGGGGGGCTGCTGCCGGCATGGCGCGAGGGGCGGGGCGCGATGCTGCATGGCGGATTCCAGGGTGAAGAAGGAAAGAAGGCAATTCTTAATCACGCGCCATGGAAGTTTACACGCTCAAAGGAAGCAGAAAAACGAGAAAACGAATAACAGCAAACGGCAGGAGAAGCGATGGTGCAACCGGTGGGCCAGATCCGAGGAGCAGGCGCTGTGAAGCATGAAGAGATAGATCTAGTGGGCTGCTGCTGCACGACGTAACGGCCTTATGGGCCGCGGTGCTAAGGGCCTCAGATGCCGCATGCGACGGCTGCCGAGCGAGAGCTCCAGCAATCGAAGCGATCGATGCGACGAACGTGACTGAAGAACCATAATCGCCTACTGGATCAGACGAGGTGCCGTGGAATGGCTTACCGGGGCGTCTGCTGCGAGCCATGGTGTGTGCGAGGGACGGTGAGACCGCGAGACGGCGAACACGAGGCGGTGCCGGTGGCGAGGCGATTGAAGATCTGAAGTTGAAGCAACGCCTCGAGAAGTGTAACTGCACGGTGTGGGAGCAGCGGCAGGCGTGGGACTGGAAGAGCAGATGGTTCCAGAACAAGAGCTCCGAGCAGCTCGGCTGACCTCTTGAAGCAAGGAGAGGGGTCACAGGTCATGGGCTTCTTGGGATTGCCGATGACGCAATCAAGGCGGCCTCGTTGCTCACACGGATGCGCGCAGGCGTGGCGAACAAGCAAGCGGTGGGCGAAGGGGCGTTCGTTACCGGCTTCGCTGCTTCATCCAACAACCGCGAAGCAGTGGCACTCATGCATCCCCCATAACACAATTCCGACAATCACCCTTCATTGTCCACCCGTTTTAGAATGTTACATGAAGACCAATGCACTCTTTATAACAAGCACTTTTTACAAAGATTGTGCACATGGTCGGCATCAGCACTCGACTAGACTGGCAATATTTATACGGATATAAGACAATAAATCGGAGGTGATCATATATATTAACACCAAAAGACGCACCACATGGCTCACAACTCAAGGCTTTCCATCTGCACGACTGTGTTGTTTCTGCTGGCCCACTGCCCCAACCCCCACTTTCTCAACCCCCCAGCTCCACCCTGCCCATTCGTCTCTCCTTCCCGTCTCTCCTTGCCACTTGCTTCCTCCTCATGCTCGCGGCTACTGCCGCCCACTGCACCTGATCCCACCACAGCGCTAGCAGTGGGCGGCGAGGGCGCAACCAGGGGAGCGGAGGCAGCGGTGCGTGGCGTGGCTGAGGGCTGGATGGGCTTGGCGCAGAGCAGGCAGAGGCGCGTGCGGCGCAGGCAGCAGGAGTGGTAGGCGGCAGAGCAGTGCTGGCAGCGGGACGTGGACGGCACCTGGTGGGCAGGGGGTGTGAAACAGGGGAGAGAGGCAATGTTGCAACGGGGGCGGGGGGTGGGGTGTGGAAGGATTGAGGGCAGGTAAGGAATGAGGTGGCATGAAGCAGGAAGCACAGTTTTGGGTTTAGGGAGAGCAGATAGACCTCGTAGGGGAAGATGAGGGGGCCAAAGGGACTGCAGCAGGTAGCTTGCGCGGTGCAGTGCGTGGTGGCGGCTGCAGCGCACTCTATGCACCCCGATGCCATGTGGCGCCGCAGAGACGATGCCAGGCGCGCCAGCATGTCCGGCAGCACTGCCACACATAAGGCGGGGGGGTAGAGGGGAGGTTGGCATGGGGAATGAGCACAGATAGATAGATGGGTGACAGTGCAACGACTAGCAGCAGCGCGCACCCACTGGCTGGAGGCATCGAAAGGGGCAAGCGCATCCGCCATGCAAAAGGCGCAGCCGCCCGCCACTATCCCGCCCTCCTCCCCCTGCGCCGCTCACCAGCGAATCTGCCTTTGGAGGCGTCCACGAGGTCGCGCATGGCAAAGAAGCCCTCAGTCTCGCGCTGCACCAGGTACGCCCTGCGCCCCAGGCGTGACAGCAGGTGGCGGCGCAGCGGGCACGCGGCGCCCATGGCGGCGTGCAGCACGGCCAGGTGCGCCCTCAGGCGCTGGATGTGCGCCAGTAGCGGCACCCGCCGCGGCAGCAGTGGGTTCACTGCGCTCAGGCACAGCAACGGCTGCAGGGGAGGGCCACGAGGGGGACAAAGGGTGCAGTTGGGTGATGCGGGTGGGTATGCTAAAATGGAATTCACTGGGCTCGCCTTGCAGCCTTCCCATCCAGCCATATCATCTGTCCGCCTCCTGCTGTACAACCAACCTCCCTCCCCAGCGCACCTGGTCATGAGTGGAGTCGAGGTAGGCCTTGGCGAGCTGGCACACGGGGCGCTCGTCAAAGCACCAGACGCGCAGCACGAGGCCCGGCAGTGCACAGCGGTCGCTGCCCTGGCAGGCGCCGCAGAAGATGCGCCCTGTGTAGTGGCACAGCCGCGGTGCCGCCACTGGGGGGACGAGCGCTGGCAGCGGGTGGAAGAAGAGCAGGGCGGACGCAGAGGAGCGCGCAGCATGCGCGTCCGGGAGGAGTGGCCTGGGCGAGACGCGTGCCGGGGAGGGGGTGGAGGAGGGCGCAGGGAGGCAGGGAGTGGGGAAGGAAGGCGAGTGAGAGGCGAATGATGGTTGGTGCAATGCACAGGCATGTGGAAGGACGTGGAACGGGATGATCCGGGGAAATAGCAGGTGTAAGGAGGGCAGGAGGTGCAGTGCAGGCATGGCGCATGCAGTGAGCTCCACACGGAGCAGCGAGCCCTGGTGCCTCACCTCCTGCACGCGGCACAGCAGTGGCGCTGCAGCAGCATCTGGCGCTGCACACTGGCGTCGTCATCTTTCACCACCTCCACACTCAGCCGCACCATCAGCCCCCCGCCTCCCCCCCGCCTCACCATCTCCCCCCCTCTGTCCCCCGTCAGCCCCGCCACCGCTGCCAAATCCGCGCCCTCGCTTCCCCCCTCGCCCTCCGCCCCATCCCTGCGCCCCCCGTCCCCACTCTCCTCCTCCATCTCCCCCCCTCCCAGGCGCATCAGTGGCATGGCGTCCCCATTGCCCTGCCTCCGTGTGGGCGGGGTGGAAGGCACGCCTGGCAGTGCGGGGGGCAGCCACGCGGACAGCCCTCCGCCCAACCATGTGCCCGCCCGCCCCCCTCCCAGCAGAGGGGGAGGCGCCCATGCGCCTGGGGGAGCATCGGGGGACGGGGCAGACGCGAGGGCGGCCCAGGGGGTGTGCTGCATGATGGGGTGCGCGAGGAAGGAGAGGAGGGGCGGCGCAGTGGAGAGGGGGGGGCCTGCCGCGAGGAGGGCAGAGAGCGCGGACTGCAGGAGGTGGGAGCGGCGGAGGACGGCGGACGCGCTAGCGCCGCCCAGGAAGCGACCCGCCTCCTCGCGCACCGCATGCCACGCCACGGCCACAGGGGACGGCGGCGCTGGGGAGTGAGGGTGGGGCGCGCGCGGGACGGGGGGCGAGAGGGCGTGGGAGTGCGCGAGGGGCGAGTAGGGCAGCGCGAGCATGGCGTCGCCGTCGAGCAGCGCGCGCATGTGCTGCTGCAGCTCCACCAGCTCGCGGAACCGCCGCTCCACATGCCACTCGCGTCCTGCGCGGACGCGCACGCGCATGCGGTACACGGCGTGGCTGCGCACGCCCACCAGGCGGTCGCCCAGCGACACCTCGCCCTGCACCAGCCGCGACCCCACCACGTCCACGCGCGCCACGTGCTCCCCCTCCGCCAGCACCGCCTCCCCTGCTGCCCCTCCCCCGCCGCCTGCCCCCTCGTGCCCCGTGCGCCCATCCGCCACTCTGAACGGCAACTGTGCCGTCCTGCCCCTGCCCCGCCCCGCGTGCGCGGAAGAGGCGGCGCCGTCCCCCCCGTCGAGCACGAGCACCTCCTCCATGTCCGCCAGCATCGCCATGTCCATGTACCGCTCCTGCAGCGCCGCCCCGCGCTCCATGCGCGCGCTCATCTGCGGGGAAGAGAAATCAGGGCGAGGGGGTGAAGGGGTAAGGAGGAGGAGATTTCAACCTAGTCTCTGAAAAGAGCAAAATGACGGCAGCGCACGCGGCAGAGGCGGGGGGTGCGCGTCACCTCGTCGTTGCTGGACGACACCGCGAGCCCGCTGTCGTCCGCGCGCACAACCCACTCGCATGCTTCCGCGTCTTCCCCCGGGCTTGATGGGGCAGCGGGGAGGCGGAGGCCGTCAGGGCTGTCGTGAAGCGCGGAAGGTGACGGGACGGGATGAAGAGGCGAGAAGGCGATGCCACGGATAGAGCCCACGATTCCCGCTGTTAGATCCTCTCCCACGCCATTTTCGCGATTCGCTTTTCCGGCTTCCGTTGCACCGCCGTCCCCATCGCGGAACGCTTCACTTTCAGCAAAAGCGCCGCCATCAGTGTGTGGCATGAGGCACCCGGCAACATCACCCACGGCGGTTGACTGCGTCGTGCCGCCACTGCCAGCCTCCATCCGCCTGTCCCCCACCACTCCTTCTGATCCCTCTGTTGGCACGCCGCACTCCTCGGCTTCCTCCCAGCCTAAGCCCTGCTCCCGTGCATCGCACTCGCGCTGCTCCACGGCACTCTCAGCCGCGGCCACATCGTGACGAACATCTGGTTGAGCTGTTTCACCGCCGTCCATTGCTCTGATGTGACGTAAACGTCCCCTAATAGGTAAGGCGTGCAACTAATTTTAGATGGGAACCATGAATGTGGAACTCAGTGAGGAGTGAAGATTGGAGGAGACGTAGGGAGGGACAGGTTGATGCGACACGACACAACCAAGGTTCTCGAGGTTGGCGATTAGGTTGCTGTTGCCATTCGCTTCGCACACGTTTCGCAACCAGCACACCCTATTGTCGCACAAACTCTCGATCCCAGGCAAGGTTACAATGTGTTGCCGCTGTACACTCCTGCAGACATTACAACCTGAATTTGTTTTCATTATGTGATAGGAAAACAATATGAGAGAAGCGTAATGTCAGGACTCATTTACAGATGTGAGAGATAATGGGGAATTCAGAAGCTTTTGAATTAAAGGGAAATGTCTGTTTTGTGGACGCTTACTTCATCAATAATATACATAAATATCGTGAGGAACTGATACGCACCTCGCCTAAAAATGCTATAGAAAGTCGTCGGAACGTGGCCACCAGGTTCGCCATTTTTAAGCCAACCGCCGCACTGCAATGCACTCCAATTGCCCAAACCGCACGGCACCGCCCATGTTGATTTGCAAACAATGCCATAGATTTAGACCAGCTCACACTACAAGCAAAGACTTCGGCACTTCTGCGACCTCTGGTGGCGCCGAACCACCTTATCTCCGTTCACTGAATTCTTCGCGCCTTTTGCCAGAATTTACGAGTCTCGCATCTCGCGTCAAGGGAATGACGCCCAATAGCACGCGAGATGCGCCATCCTTGCCCGAGCGTGTGGAGATCGCGGGACGCGAGATCGACCCCGAGGACGACTACGACTACGGGTACGAGGACGAGGGCGGCGCGCCTCCCGTGCCCACCAAGAAGGTGCCCACCGGCACCGTCTACGAGGCGGCGCGCGCCGGGGACGTGGATCGGCTGACGTGGCTGGTGCACGAGGAGGGCGTGGACGTGAACGCGCGCGACCGATGGGACTCCGTGCCGCTCTATTATGCTTGCCTCGCTGGTGCGCGCGCGGGAGGGGCGGAGAGAGCAGGGTTGGAGAGGAGTGGGGGGTTTATGACTGATGGGGGGACAAGGGACGTGAGAAGGCTGCCCACGATTGTGTGACTGGCTTGGCGCGGCATGGTTCCATCGGAAAAGTGGCGCCTTTACCGTTCTTCCGGGTTCGCCATTCGTCGTCCCCTTGCCCTCTTTCACCCTTCCCCGTCTCACTTTGCCCCCCCACGCCCCCACCGCCCGCCCGTGGGCCCCGCGTATCCCCCGCCCCTTCCCCAGGCCATCTGGAGGCGGCGCGCGTGCTGCTGGAGGCGGGCGCGATCTGCAGCGAGCACACGTTCGACGGGGACAGGTGCCACTACGCCGCGCTCACGCTCCGCATCCGCCGCCTGCTCAAGCGCTACGAGATGCGCCCGCCGCCCCTCGACCCGCTGCCCAAGGCCTTCAAAGACCTCCTGGACGCCACCGCCGCCAAAGCCGATGCCCTCTCCCCTTCCGCCAGCGCCCCTCCCGGCCCCCCGTGCGTCCCCGCGGCACTGCTAGATCCGCGCGACCCGCTGGCGCCCGACATCGCGTTCCACATCGACGGGCGCGTCGTGCTCGCGCACAAGCCCGTGCTCGCCGCGCGCTCCGACTACTTCGACCGCGCCTTCGCCTCCAAGTGGCGCGACAGGTCCGAGGTGTTCCTCGCCAACCCGCGGCTGACACATGGCGCGCTGGCGGCGCTGCTGGGGTTCGTGTACTCGGACCGCCTGGACGTGCCCGTGGCGGGGCTGCCCGACCTGGTACGCGCATGCCGCGCCGCCAAGTGCGGGGCGGGGCTGGTGAGGGCTGTGGATCGGGAGCGCGTGCACGACAAGCTGGCACAGCACAAGGTGCCGCCAAGGCGCGCACTGGGGCTGAGGCGACGAGGCAGGGCGGCGAGGGGCAGGGGAGCGGGCGAGGGAGAGCTTGTGAACGGGGAGGTGGCAGCAGATGCCGGAGAGGGGAGAGGGGATGCGGATGGTGGGGCGGGCGAGGGCGAGGGGACGGGCGAGGGAGAGGAAGAGGACGGGAGCAGCGAGCGAGGGCGAGAGAGGGCGGGGGAGGAGGAGGATGAGGCACAGCGACGGTTTATTCTGACGGCGGCATCGCTGCCCGAGGAGGAGAGACTGGCGGGCGGCATGCAGCGGCTGCTAGCGCGGTGCATGGCGAGGTCTGACACGAGGGCCATGGACGCTGATGGGGAGGGCGCGGAGGGGTATGGGGAGCCTGGGGGGGAATGTGCGGATGGGGAGGGCGGAGAGGTGGGTGGTGGGGGACTGGTGGGCGGGGATGGAGCGGAAGGTGAGGCGAGAAGGAAGGTGCGGTTTGGCACAGCTGAGTCGAGCGGTGATGAGGACCGCGAGTGGGCAAGGGGAGAGGACGGGGAGTGGAGGGGAGAGGGTGCGGATGGCGGGGCAGGCGTGGGGGTGCATGGGTGTGGCAGTGCCTCTGAGCCCGATCACGCAGACTGCTGCTTCTCCGTGGCGGGCTGTGTGTTCCGCTGCCACCGCGTGGTCATGGCGGCATGCTGTGACTACTTCAGAGTGCTCTTCGTGCGCCAGGCAGTGCACGCACACACGCCACCGCACTCCTCATCCGCAGCAGAGGGACAGAGGGGTGGGACGGCAGCAGTGCTGCTGGGAGATGGCGGGGCTGTGCTGCCGTGTTTCCACCTGCCTGACCTCACCCCCTACGCCTTTCACAAGATCCTCGAGTTCATGTGCGTGCTCCGCTCCCCGCCCTGCCCTCCGTTTCTTGCTGCCTTTACCTTCCCTGCCACAATCGTGCCACCTCCTTCACTGCTCATATCCCTCCACCCATTCTTCCCTCACCACGAGTTGCGCGTGGTTGCATTGGCCACATGCCACATGCTGTGATGGTGGATGTCCACGCACTACCTGTGTTTGTGCATGTCCTTCTCACCCTTTCAGCGCTGCTCCCTTCTTCCCTCTTCCGCACCTGCCCCGCTCGGTGTGCCCCCCAGCTACACGGATCGCATCCAGCACATTGCTGTCACCCAGGTGATCCCATCTGTCCTTGCCTGCCCCTAATACCTTCTTACTCTCAACACTTACTCTTGCGTGTATCATTAATGCACACACCTTTTTTCACCTTCCCTCTGTGTGCCTGCTCGTCTTGCTGGCCGCCCACCCTCCTCAACGATCCCCTGCACTGCACCCCCCTGCACCGGCACTGTGGCAGGCCATGGACGTGATAGATGCAGCGGCGCGCTTCCTGCTCTTCCCACTCAAGCGTGCCGTGGCGGACGCCCTCATCCCACACCTGCACTCCGCCGACATGCCCTCGCTCTGCCACTGGCTGCTCGCTGCTGACCTGTATGTCGCTTCTCCCCCACGCTTCCTGCCCCCTCGCTCCTTCCCTGTGTCGCGCTCAGCGTTACCTGCACTGTCCTCCACTCATCGCCATTTCTTGCTTGCCCTTTCCTCTTGCAATGCTGCGCATTGCATCAGCTCAGTCACTGGCAGCACAGGGCATGCTTGTGTGTTCCCTAATAAGCCCTGTACGGCCCTTGTGGCTGTGTCCCCTGCATGTAACGCTGCGTGCTGCGTGGCATGTGGCAGGTACGGAGTGTGGAAGCTGAGGGAGCACGTGCTGGACGTCATGGCCGCCAACTTTGACGCCTTTGCCGCCTGCCCTGCCTTCCGTGCCATGCTCGCACGCTTGCCTCCTCCCTCGGGCAATGACTCGGTGCGCACCACTGCACCCTCGCTGCACAACGAGCAAGTGCCCACGCCCGTGGGGCAAGCAGCAGGGGGTGCAGGGGGCGATGGAGTGGGCGGGGTGGAGAGCATGAATGTGCTGGACGATTTGCGGGAGAAGTGGCTGGAGCTGGAGGGAGCCGAGTTAGAGGAGAGGGACGCCAGTGCTGCTGAATTTGACAAGCGCCTAGAGACGCTTGCAGCCTTGGCAGTTGGTGAGGAAGAGGAGATTTAGGACATTTGAAAGGGAGGGTTCATTGTGGACGGATATAGTTCACAAATTGATACTGTTTTCCTATTCTATGAGAAGCTTGTGTACTTGAGGGTTCAGTCGCAGTGGTATTGCTCCCAAAGAGTTTCCTCGATATTGCTTCCTGGAAACGTCAAAAGTGGATGAGGTCATCCTTGCCCGCAGTCGCCTACAGACAATGACGTGGCAGGGCAATTTTGTTGCTCCGTCCCAGACGACATCGTGCACCGCTTTCCTGCCCTGATCTCACAGGGCTCCGCGACTCTCGATTGAAACTTTGCGAGGGTCATACTCGAGTCGTGGACCTCAAGGTGCGACTCTCGTGCGGGACTGGCGACACCTGCAAATGCAAACGGGTAGTGCTTCTGCAAATCCCAAACAATGCCTGTTTGCATTCCCTGAGTCAGCAACCAGGCAGCCCAGCTTCAAAACATCCTTCTGAAGCACACAACGAACGTTTCTGTGGTTAGACATATCACACTTCCCTGAACTCCACATGGCGAATGCGGACTGGGTTGCGCTGGCGGAGCTATGGATGCGCAGCTACTGTCCGCCCATGGACGCCGCTCTCATTCACCAGCTCGCCGCGCGCACAGTCTCGTCGCTCGCCGCGCCATCCGTCAATGGCGCCACGGGTTCTTCAAGTGCAACCACCGCAAGCTCTTCCGAAGAGTCGCATGGCGCGGCGGTGGCGGGGCAGGTGCAGCTGGAGCTGGCGGCGCTTTTGGGGGGGGAGGTGCCGCGAGGGGAGGCGACGGACGGTGAGGAGGAGGCGAGAGAGCGAGGATGCGAGAGCGTGGAGAAGCACTGCCTGCAGTCACTGGTCGACATCCACGTGTCGCACGGCCGATGCCAGTGCGCCATCTCCGTCACACCGGAACTAGTGGTACTGACCCCCCCCCCCCCCCCCCCCCCCCCCTTCCCCGCTCCTCTCCACCCCGCTTTTACCTCTCACCCTCTCTCACTTTCCTGACGTTCTCTTCCCCTCTCCCTCTTGTTCCCTCTCTATCTCTCTGTCACACGTACTCATCCTGTCTCGCTCCACCCATTGATCCTCCTGGAAACGGTCTTCTCTTTGTCCAAAGCGATCACCTTTTGCTAGTTGAATCCGCCCTCTCACGGCCCACCAGAATCGGTACAACTCGCTGCACGGAGGAGCCATTGCCACGCTCACAGACGTCGTGACGTCAGCAGCGCTGATAGCGGCGGTGGGGCCGCCAGGGGGCGTGTCAACGGACCTGAGTGTGGCATACCTCGATGCCGCCAAGCTGGGGGTGAGCCGCCCTCGCACCGCCATTGCCCTGCCGTGGGGAAGTCCTCTGTGCTTGCACAAACGCGCTGCAGCACCGTTGCTGCCTTTTCTCATCTGGCCTCGCCACTGCAACCCTTTGAACTTGTACCTGTGCTGCCGTCCCATCCCATCCGCGCCCCCCCTCCTCCCCTCTCCTCCCCTCTCCCCACCAACCATTAGGAGGTGGTGGATGTGGATGCATCTGTGCTGCGCGTCGGCAAGTCCCTCGCCTTCCTGCAGGTACCACGCCATGCCACCATGTGCCATATGCCACCAGGCTACCATGCCATCATGCGGGCATGTCGCCATATTTGTGTTTTCATGTGAGGAATTTCATTGTGCAGGCCTCGGCCTCCATTCAGTCCTCACCGTCTCGTGAGTGTCTACCCTGTGGTGCTGCAGGCTCTATTCCACCGCCGCAGCGACGGTGTGCTGCTGGCAGTGGGGCGCCACACCAAGTTCCTGGTGGGGCCGCAGCGCCAGAGCAGGGCGCCTGTGAGGGGCACAGGGGGGCAGGCAGAGCAGCGAGCCGACCAGCCTAGCGGGGAAGGCAAGCAGGGCGACGCAGGTGCTGCCGGTGGTGCAGGCAGCATGGCAGTCAGAGGGGAGGCGGCTGAGGACGGTGGGATGGGAAATCAACGTGCACTTCGATCCAGATTGTGAATGGACGACTTTCAGTGATTTACCACCTTTGTTTAACACGTATATGTCACAAGGAAATAAAATCAGTACAAACAAATGCTGTATGCAGGTTCCATGTACACAGCATCATAGTTCACTCATGTTCGAGATCTAGAAGCTAAACGCATGAGGAGCATCAGTCATCGTCATGAGCGCCGTGGCGCTGGGAGCGGCGGGAGCGCATGATGGCTCGGAACTGCTCTCCCTCCGCACGCAGCTGCTGCCGCCACAGCACCTGCTGGGCCGCGTGGTCCGCCACTATCTGAAAGCCCCCGCCCGTGCCACCCGCCCCATTGCCCACCGCCTCCGCCTCCTCCGCTTGCACAGGGTTGCTTGCCTGCCATGCACCATTACACCAGGGGGTATGGTTGGGTGGGTAGGACGAAAGGTGGAAGTGGGGATATTTTTTAGGGAGATGGGCATGTGGACGGTCAGAGAGGTTAAGATGCTTATGGTGTTTCAAATCTGCAGAAGCCGCCGCAAAAACAAGCATTAGAGGCAAAAGGCGGGCAGGAAAGGAAGAAAGCATGGCAAGCGCAGTGTCATTTGAGAGACAAGCAAACACGTGCGCAGTAGCGGTAAGTGGGTGCAGGGTGCAGGCAGGAGCGTACCAGGGAGTAGCCGGCACCAGGGCCAATGACGAGCGAGGCACGTGTGGGGGGGGTGGCAGCACCCATGGTGAAGCACACATCCTGATGGCGTGGTGCAGGCGCACACACGGGAGGGCGTGCACGGGATGGCACCAAGTGGATGTGATGATGGGAGGGGTGGAGACGGACGAATGCAGCCTACATGCAATCAGGCAAGCGGTGGAGAATGGTGGGGCAGGGTAGCGCGGATTGATACCTGGGAGTGGGCGTGGCTGTCGACCCATCGCAGAGCCTTCTTACCACTACCGTTCGACCCCTTGAGAATGCCGCGCACTGCCACCCCACTCTTGCTGCCGCCCGCTGTGGCAGTCTGCGCAGCCCCCTGCTTCTTGTGCCTCTTGTGCTTCTTCTGACTGCCATACGCCGCCAGAAGGCCCGCCAACGCACCTCCACCCCCACCACCCTCGTCGTCATCATCATCATCCCCATCATCATCCTCCTCGTCACTATCCCCATCAGCATCAGCATCAGCATCAGCGGCAGCATCAGCAGCCCCAACATCCCGCCTTCTCTTCACACCTGCCCCGTTGCCAGCCCCTTCGCCTGTCCACCGTCCCTCCTCACTGCTCTGCCCCTCCCCACCTCCACCACCCGAAGCACCTTTCGCCCCATCCTGCCCTGTCTGCTGCTGCTGCTGCTGCTGGTGCCTGAGCTTCTCCTCCTCCTCCGCGGCAGCAGTGGCGGCCTCCTCCTGCTCCATGTGCAGCTCGTCATCCTCCTCATCCATCTCCACCTGCCATGCCATGACATGCCATGCCATGGCATGCCATGCCATGCCATGCCATGCCATGCCATGCCATGCCATGCCATGCCATGGTGCAGCCACGCCCATCATAAACAGCGTGAGCTCTTTAACGAGCAGCAAAGAGGTGGAAGAGAGAGCGACAAGTAGAGAGACGAGGACGTGGGATGCTGTGCTGTGCTATGCTGTCATGCTATAAGCAGTGGCGGGAAGGGCATACCTCTGTGATGGACGCATCGTCAAGAGTGTCTTCATGGAACAACGACTGCCGCACACATGCACACATGCACACATGCCCACACAGGACGACCAGTTAGACACACACGAGAAGCACGGGAGTGAACGGGTGCCTGGCACGCACAACAAGAATGACCAATGGCTCTTGGCAGCGCAGTGGAGTTCAGGGTGGTGGAAGGCACAGTGCAGAGGCAAGAGGGCAAGCATGGGGAGGCAGCAGGAGGGCACACACATAGGCGCACATGTGATGCGACATGCCCTGGGGCGAGCAGAAAGTGCATACAAGGGCGGCTCACTTTGACATCGAGCAGCAGCATGTGTGGCGGCAGGGCCTCCCACTGCTCTGCCATGCCCTGCACCTGCTGCACTGTGAAGCCGTGCGTGTTGCGCCCCGCACACAGCTGCCCGGGGGAGACACACAGAGCATGGTGGTTGAGTGCAATGGTGCAGTGCAGGCATGCATGGAGTGGGTGTACACATTGCTGCGCCTTCAAGGAACATGCAGTGCGCTGGAAACGTGCAGCGAGTTGTATGGGACATGCAGAGCATGGTGTGTGAGTGGGGAACGTGAATGGGCGAGGCAGATGGCACGCACTGTGGGGTGGCTGGATGCGGATGGCTGCACCACGTACACCTCAAAGCCCGCACACTGGGGAGGGCACACACACAGGGCACACAGGACACAGGGACGGGCTCTGTGAGCTCATGCACCGCCTTGCACCCCCCCCTTGATGCCTCCCACCACCGTGGCGGAACCATCATGGCACCAGCACAGTACAGCCACAAACAACCTGGAATCGCTAACAAGGTGCATTAACAAGAAGGGTACAGTAAAGAACAACGTGCAGACAAGCAAGGTACAGTCACAAGCAAGTTACAGTCACAAGCAAGGCACAGTAACAATCAAGGTACAGTAACAAGCAAGGTACAGTCACAAGCAAGGTACAGTCACAATCAAGGTACAGTCACAAGCAAGGTACAGTCACAATCAAGGTACAGTCACAAGCAAGGTACAGTCACAAGCAAGGTACAGTCACAATCAAGGTACAGTCACAAGCAAGGTACAGTCACAAGCAAGGTACAGTCACAATCAAGGTACAGTCACAAGCAAGGTACAGTCACAAGCAAGGTACAGTCACAAGCAAGGTACAGTCACAATCAAGGTACAGTCACAATCAAGGTACAGTCACAATCAAGGTACAGTCACAAGCAAGGTACAGTCACAAGCAAGGTACAGTCACAATCAAGGTACAGTCACAAGCAAGGTACAGTCACAAGCAAGGTACAGTCACAATCAAGGTACAGTCACAAGCAAGGTACAGTCACAAGCAAGGTACAGTCACAAGCAAGGTACAGTCACAATCAAGGTACAGTCACAATCAAGGTACAGTCACAAGCAAGGTACAGTCACAGTCACAAGCAAGGTACAGTCACAAGCAAGGTACAGTCACAAGCAAGGTACAGTCACAAGCAAGGTACAGTCACAAGCAAGGTACAGTCACAAGCAAGGTACAGTCACAAGCAAGGTACAGTCACAAGCAAGGTACAGTCACAAGCAAGGTACAGTCACAAGCAAGGTACAGTCACAAGCAAGGTACAGTGAAGCGAGGTGAAGTGAGAAGCAAGGCATGTGTGGGTAAGCTTGATGCCATAGAGGACCATGGCATGGCACATGGTGGGGGCAAGTCAGGGGTTCATACTGTACATGGCATTGCAGCAGAGATGCAATGGCATGGCATGGTATGGGGGAGACCAGATGGCAGGGCATGGTATGGCATGGGGGAGACTAGATGGCATGTCATGGCACGGGGGGGAAGGAAACGGCTACCTTGCCAGCTTTCCAAAAGGGCTCGAATTGCGACACACGCACGTTGCGGTCCTCCACTGGATAGTCAGGCGACGGCATCATGAGGCGCCGCATGCCGTGATGTTATGGGATGTGATGTGATGTGCACATGGTATGGTGGCATGAGATGCGGTGGCATGGGGACTGGGATGCCCCAGTGGCAGTACATGCATGCATACTTAACGCTGCAATCGCTGCGTGCACACGAGCACATGGGAAGCACGGCACACTGCACCGCACATCAATGCCTGGCTACACCAAGGCGCCGCACGCTGTGGGCACGGCGGTAGGGCAAGCAGCAGTGGAAATGTAAGCGGTGGCGCACAGGGGCATCAGCGTGCAGCGGCATGATACACGCTACCAGCTACATGGGGAGCGGGGAAACGGGGCGGGTGTGAGGAAAGTCCAGGAAAAGCAAAAACAAAACGCAAGCCTTCTGGGAGAAGCTGAGTGTGATGAAGCAGTGAGACAAGGAGGACGACTGGGGGAGGAAAGGAGAGTGAACGACTGAGAGGAAAGAGGGGAGGAGAGGGAGAGTGGGGGGAGGCAGGGAGATAAGGTGACAAGATGGCATGAGGGCTAAGTACAGGTCGTGCAAGGGCAGTGTGCACGGTGGGGACGGGGAGGGCGCATGGGGGCAGGGGCATGGGGCAGGGAGCACGGGGGAGGCATGGAAGAGTAGGCATGAAGGGCGGAGCAGGGAGGGTAAAAGGGGGCACCGATGATGAAGGAGAAGCGCCCCTCTTCCAATGCCTTGCGGTATGCCCTCAACATGCTGGCTCGATACAGCTGCACGTGGTGCACACACACACACATGCACACACACACACACTCACACTCACACACACACACACACACACACACACACACACACACACACACACACACACACACGCATGAATGCACACACACACATGCATGCGTGCGCAGACATGAATGCAAACATAGACACACATGCGCGTGTGCACATACACGCATACAAGCACACATGTGGTAGACAAAGGATGGGAGGGTAGGATGAGTGAGAGGCGGTTGG